TTTGGTCAACTTTTAGTGTGAATTACAGCAACTCTAGGAAACGTTTCTCGGCACTGGAACTGCAGGACAAACGCTTCCACAGGACATTACAAGCGATGACGCATTTAATGCTCATGACAAACCTGCAGCAAAGATTGATGACCTCCATTTTATAGATGAGGAAACAGAGAATCAGAGGGGTTGGGGAACTTGCCCAAAGACACACAGCTGGGATGCGTCATGCTCCAGGTCAGGTGCTCTTCACTCCTCGGTAGGAGACCGCAGAGGCTGGGGGCTGCGGTGGTGTGTTAGACCGTTCTTGCACTGCTATAAAGAGATACCTGAGACTGGGTCATTGTAAAGAAAAGAGGTTTCAATGGTTCATGGTTCTGCAGGCTGTACACGCATGTTGTCAGTATTTGCTCGACTTCTGGTGAGGAGGCCTTCAGGGAGCTTTTACTCAAGGCCAAAGGGGAAGCAGGAGCAGACACATCCCACAGCGAGAGCTGGGGCAAAAGAGAGCAGGGGGAGGTATCACACATGTCTAAACAATGAGATCTGAGGCGAACTCACTCGCCAAGGGGATGGCGCTAAGCCATTCATGAGAAATCCGCCCCCCGCGATCCAATCACCTCCCACCAGGACCCACCTCCCACATCGGGGATGACATTTCAACAAGAGATTTGGGTGGGACAAATATCCAAACCATATCGAGGGGCGCCTGTAGCAGGAAGCTTCCTAGGACACCTTCTGTCCTTACAGGGAACACACAGCGTGGCCCAATCTGTATCTGAGGATAAAGGGCTGTTGCCCTCGGGAGTCAGCCTGCGTGCAAGGACCTAAAAGCGGATGGATTCGGGGCAGAGAGGGCAGTGGAATTAGGGAAGCCCCACCTGGTGCTGTGGGAGCCTGAGGAGGGAGTGATGTAGAAAGTCTGTGTTTTAAAGCTGATGTTTCCCAGAAGTAAGCAGTTTGTTTTAAACAATGGTAAATATCCCTGGATCCCCTAGTGAAAAACATAAGGCCCTTTCATCACTTGCCCTGCTGACAGAGGAGCCAAGAATCTCAATTTGGTGCTATTACGTCTTAAACATTATTATAAGTAGTAGTAGTAGTAGTAGTATTGAGACAGAGTGTCTTGCTCTGTTGCCCAGGTTGGAGTACAGTGGTGCAATCTCTGCTCACTGCAACCTCCACCTCCTGGATTCAAGAAATTCTCCTCTCTCAGCCTCCCAAGTAGCTGGGATTACAGGCACACACCATCACACACAGCTAATTTTTGTATTTTTAGTAAGACAGGGTTTCACCATGTTGGCCAGGCTGGTCTCGAACTCCTGACCTTAAATGATCCTCCCACCTTGGCCTCCCAAAGTGCTGGGATTACAGGCATGAACCAATGTGCCTGGCCTCCCTTTCTTAAGTTTAAACAAAGACAAACCACATGTCCAGCTTCTAGGACTCTCAGGCAGGTAGTAGCATCTCACTAAATTTCAATTGCTGCCTTTGATTTTTTTGTATTTAGTTGTTACGTTTTACTGTATTTCGTTTTATGATAAGTTGATTGTTCTGTTTAAGTAACACTTATGTAACATCTACTAAATGCCGCGCACTCTTCTAAATGCTTTATAAATGTTGACTAATTTAATTCTCCCAGGGACCTATGAGGCAGGTACCATGATTATTGTTACTCCCATTTACAGATGAGGATGTTGAGGCCTAGAAAGGTTAAGCAAACTACCTGAGGCCACAAAGCCTGCAAGTGGCAGAGAGGAGATTTGAACTGAGACCGGCCAGCTCCACAGCCTGTGTCTTAACCAGCGTGGCACACACTGTCTGTCTATTTCATGCCAGTTATCTGTTGATGGTTGTGATATAATATTTTTTGAGACATGGTTATTGGAGTAACAAATAGAAGGCAAGGTAAGCTCAATAGCAAGTGGATAATTAGTTGCACCAGGGTAAACCTCAAAGGCAATAGACCAGTGGCAAGAGTTCTGGAACACTCCAGTGTGGCTGCAGGGATACAGCACGTGGACCGTGAAAGCTGAATTGAGAGGGTGGGAGGGGAAAGGTGTTGGAGGGGAGGAGTCTGCTCTGGCAGAGGCAGAGATGCGTGGTAGAGCCTGGGCTGCCGGGGAGACAATGAGTAATTCAGGGCAGCCAGCCAGTAATGGCAGGAAACCCATGGACTGGTACAGCTCTTCACAGTCCACGAAGCATTACAACATCTGCTTTCTCACAGTCTCTCCTTCACTGCCAGGTGCAGGGAGCGCTATGGTCCCCATTTCAGAGACGGCAACTGAGTTCAGAGCGTAAAAGAGCCAGAGAAGAGCTACTATTGGCTCCAATATCTTCTGGCTTCAAAATCTGAGCCCTTGTCTCCACTCCACTGTGTCATGGATCTTTGGTGGCAAGCGACAGACATAGACTTCAACATGATTGAGCAACATAGGTGGTTTTTGGCTCATGGAAATGAGAAGTCTGCAGGGTGGACATCAGATATGGCTGGATCCAGGACCTCATATAATGTCATGGGGACTCTTGATCTGTATTTCTCAGTATGGATGTCATTTTTCAAGGAGGCTCTCTCTAAGAGGGGACAAAGATGGCTACAAGCTCTCCACAGACACCAAAAATAATGCCAGTTTTCTAGAAAAAAAAAGAAACAAAAACCTCGGTGCCCGAGTTGACATCCATCCCTGCTGCAATCACTGCAGTCAGACAGACGGGTTGCTTTGATTGGCCAAGCGTGGGTCAGGAGCCCACTTTGTGGGGCATGGGGTGGAGTCAGCCTCATGCAAACCACTAAAGGCAGCTCAGATTGAGGAGCTCTTTGGGAAGAGACGCCGGGCAAGCAGCAGCAGCAGGTACCCCCTCCGCATCCCTAGTGCTCTGTGATATAGGCAGAGGTAAGAATTAAGAGGGATGAGGAGTTTTTTGTCTGTTTGCTTTTTTAAAGACAGGGGCTCACTCTTTCATTCAGGCTGGAGTGCAGTGGTGCAATCAAGGCTCACTGCAGCCCAGACCTCCTACACTCAAGCAATCCTCCTTCCTCAGCCTCCTGAGTAGCTGGGACCACGGGGGTGCGCCACCTGGCTAACATAGTTTTACTTCTATTTTTCTTTTTGGTAGAGACAAGGTCTTGCTATGTTGGTCAAGGTGGGGATGAGGAATCTTGAACCTGGGCAAAGGAATTCACACTTTCTGCTGTGCTGTGGTCAAGATAAAGCCATCATCAGGGAGTGATGGGGACTGAGCTGTGTCAGGGCTCACGCTGTGGCTGGGGTGATGGATGTGGACAGAATAGCGTTGGGGAGGGGGGCGCAGACACAGACTCCCCCTCCTGCGATCAGAGGCCACTTCTTCAAAGCGTGTTAATGGGGCCTCTGCCGGGGTTGGAATCACACAGGCTCCATATTCCTAAAAGCAGGTTGAAATCGCATCTGCCCCAGCGTGATTTTATTTGAGTAGCGATGCTATTGCTTAGGATGACGCTGCAGTTAAAATTTTAAGTGCACTTATTTATAGAAAATACGTTAAAATATATATTAGGATAAACACCAGTACACACGATGTACCAATATGGCTAAAATTTTGGAAGTGAGATATTTGGGCATCTCCCGGCTAGATCATTCTGAGACCCTTCCATTTCTGATGCTCTATATACTTATCAATTACAGCTGCTAGTTGTGTTTTTTTGCGACGGGGGCCGTGCCCAGGGTTTTATGCAAATCACCTCCTTGAATTCTCATAAGCAGCCTGGAAGCAGGCCTTGCCGTTTCCACGCTACAAGGCTCAGAGCAGGTGGGGGACTGGCCTGGAGCCACACAGCTGAGCATCTGAACCTCCTGGCCCCCAGCCCATGCCCTGCATCAGCGGTTCTTTGGTGACTTTGTGAAGGAGGTCAGAGGGAACTATGAATGGGGCCAGGATCTTTGGGAAGATCCTGGCACAGAGGCGGAGGGTCTTCCCTTTGTGGAGATGGCACCTAGAGAAAGCCAGCCTATCACTTGCTTCCTGCAGGGAGCATCTCTCTTGGGTTTAGCTTTTACCTCCATTCTTTTTGTGTGTGTGTGATGGAGTTTTGCTCGTGTTACCCAGGCTGGAGTGCAATGGCACGATCTCAGCTCACCGCAACCTCCGCCTTCTGGGTTCAAGCAATTCTCCTGCCTCAGCCTCCCAAGTAGCTGGGACTACAGGCATGCGCCACCATGCCCAGCTGATTTTTGTATTTTCAGTAGAGACGGGGTTTCACCATGTTGGCCAGGATGGTCTCGATCTCTTGACCTCATGATCCACCCATCTCGGCCTCCCAAAGTGCTGGGATTACAGGCGTGAGCCACCACACCCGGCCTTCTTTCTTCTTTAGATAGATAAATACAGAAGTTTAATTTCATGCAATGCTATATTGATAGGCCCAGCAAAGGCAAAATAGTCACTAATCTCCCATCACCTGCTGGGCATGGTGGCACACACCTGTCATCCGAGCACTTTGAGAGGCCAAGGAGGAGGATCACTTGAGCCCAGGAGTTTGAGACCAGTCTTGGCAACATACCAAGACGTCATCTCTACACAAATGTTTTCAAAATGAGCCGGGCATGGTGGCATGTGCCTTTAGTCCCAGCTACTCAGGAGGCTGATGCAGGAGGATCACTTGAGCCCAGGATGTTGAGGCTGCAGTGAGCCGTGATTGTGCCACTGCACTCTAGCCTGGACAACAGATTATGACCCCATCTCTAAAAGTGCTAAAATAAAATCATAAAAAATTCACTTCGCATTTGGGACATGATGGTGAGGCAGGAAGAAGGCAGGAGAAGGGATTCTCAGGGTGAATCTACCATTTCTAAGAGGTGGGAGTTCTTGGGGTCATCCACAGGGGCCCCCAGGATCTTGCTTTTTTCTTAAGACAGTTCCAAGAATCTGGAGCAAGTCTTCCTGGGAAGAGACAGGATGAGGGGAGGCAGGGGGCGCCCTGAACCCCGCCTGGGCTCACCCTCCGCTGTCGTCTCTTGCAGGTCCGTGGGAGTCAGCATGCCACGTGGCTCGGCCGTCGCCTTGCTCCTGCTGCTGCTCCAGGGAGGTAAGTGGCTGCCCTGTGGTCTGCAGGTGGGGAGGGCCCCCATCCCAGAGCTGAGCTGGGGCTGTGCTGTCTTTGTGGGCGCAAAAACACGGCTAGAGTCCACAGATCCAGAATGGATGGCACCCGTGCCCTTGAGGCCGACACAACTCCAGTAGCCAGCTCTCCACTAACCAGAGTCCATCCACCAAAGCACCCCATGAACCAGAAGTGGGACACACGAGTCTCAGGTGGCTCAGCCTGAGGACTGTGGCATAGGGTGCCGCTGCGGGGATGACAGGCTTCATCCTTTATTTCCCCTGCGCTGTGCCTTGGCTGGCTCCCAACTCTCTGAGTGAGGAAGTTCTGCCTTCCATCTAACCTCGGTTTCTCCTTCTGTAATGACTCTCCTTGGAAATGTTGTTCAGCAATCACTGGGCTGGGTGGGGTGGCTCATACCTGTAATCCCAGAACTTTGGGAGGCCAAGGCGAGGAGTATGTCGCCGGAGCTCCAGACTAGCCTGGGCAACATGGCAAAACCCTGTCTTTGCAAAAGAAGAAGAAAAGCCAGGCATGGTGGCACACACTTGTAGGCTGAAGCAGGAGGATTGCTTGAATCTGGGAGGTGGAGGTTGCAGTGAGCCAAGGTGACACCACTGTACTCCATCTAGCCTGGGCCACAGAGCGAGACCGTGTCTAACAACAGCAAACAAACAACAAAAAAAACAATAGCTGGATTCTTAGCAGGCACTGGTGGCCCCTGGGTTGGGGATGGGAGGAAGAGCCAAAAGGAGACCGAATCTTGGTAGGCAGTCCCCGGGGGACAAGATGTTGAGGTCAGAGGGGACCATGTCAGAAAGCAGAGCTGGGAAGGGCAGGAATCTGACTGAGGGGGGCACTATCTAGGACTAAGAGATCCCGAGGGCCTTCCTGGAGGAGGGGGCCGTGAGGAGGCAGGATCCAGCACAGGCTTGTGTAGAGGCCGGCCTAGGGGCGGGGGAGGAACTGAATGGCTGCTCTGCTGACTCATGGGCATTTTTCTCTGGTTTTTACCAGAAGACCCAGCACTTCAAATAGCTCCTTCAGGAAACAGATGTCGAGCTTTGATTTTCCCTTTCTGAGTGGCGACCATCCCCGTCTGGGTTCTAAAAAGCCTTTGGGTCACCCACCGTGGCTCCACAACTGGCAGGTGCAGCTAACAAGCCGGGGCTGCAGGCAGAGCTCCGAGCATCATCTCATTCCAGTCTCCCAACAGCCCCGCACGGCCCCTGTTGTAATGACGCCCAGCTTTCGGTTGAGGAAACGGAGGCTCAGAGAGGCTAAGGACAGGTGCATGGCCACATCACTGGGCAGAGGCAGAGCTGGGACCTGTTCCCTGCTCTTGGAGTCTTAGTCTGTTTATGCTGCTGTGACGGAATACATGAGACTGGGTCATTTATAAATAACAGTATTGCTCACAGTTGTTGGGGCTGGGAAGTCCAAAGGCAAGGCATCAGCTTTTTTTTTTTTGAGACTGAGTCTTGCTTTCTCACCCAGGCTGGAGTGCAATGGTGTAATCTCGGCTCACAGCAACCTCTGCTTTCCGGGTTCAAGAGATTCTCGTGCCTCAGCCTCCTGATTAACTAAGATTACAGGCACACACCATGGCTAATTTTTGTATTTTTAGTAGAGATGGGGTTTCACCATGTTGCCCAGGCTGGTCTTGAACCCCTGACCTCAAATGATCCGCCCACCTTGGCCTCCCAAAGTGCTGGGATTACAGGCCTGAGCCAACACACCCAGTCCCCATCTTTGCTTCTAAATGCCACCCTGAATGTTGCACCCTCCAGAGCGGATGCAAGCTGGGTTCTCATGTGGCAGAAGGGACAGAAGGGCAAAGCGGGGCTGAACGTTGGGTTCCTCCAGCCCTCTTGTAGGATCAATAATTCATTCAGGGGGGCTCTGCCTCCATCACGTAATCGCCTCCTAGAGTTCCCGCCTTTTAATATGATCACATTGGCAACTGAGCCTCAGCATATGAATTCTGGGGAGACACAGACATTCAAACCATAGCCTGGCCCTCATCGCCGCGCTGTGCTGCTACCTGTTGAGTGATCGCTGTGTACGGGCGTCTGCTGCACAGGTGCAATCTCATCTCAGCACCTTGGCACCCTCTAGGGCAAGCGGCATCTCCGGCTTACACGTGGGGAGGAGAAGCAGTTTTGACTCACGTGTTTACAGTCACAGAGCTGGGGACGGCACAGCCACTTGCGCGCCTCTCACTGCCTCCTGCACACTGTCATAACCCCAGACGTGGCATGGCCTGGGGGCTCTCTGCACTGTGGCTGGGGGCACTCGCCACGCATTTGCCCACCTTCTCATCCCTGGTGCCACCTCCAGGCCAGTTCAGAGGCTGCTGTTGCCTCCCTAGGTTTGGAGACAAACCCCATCCCTTGGTAGCTTTGAACCTGGCTAGGAATGGCAGCTCCTCTCCCAATTCCTAGAGCCTTGAGAAAGAACCGCAAAGATATAAACGCAGAGACGACACAGCTACTGAGAGGCTCTGGGTTGAGGCTTTGTCAAAATCAGTCCTGTTTCCTCTGCCAAGTGCTGGAACTAGCTCCTCGGCATCCCACTCACGAGTCCTGTGTGCCTCCCGGAGGAAAGCCCCTCCTAGAGCAAGATTTATGTCCATGACTCAGACCCCTCGGCAGCCACTGCCTGGAGAGCTGTGTTGAGGATTCTGAGGTCACACCTAGGGGAGAGAGTGCTGTGATCCATTAGCAATGCCTGCCGTGTGCACCACTGTGAAAAACTAGCATAGACTAGGTTTTTTTCCTCCCTGGGTGAGTGTCTCAGCGGCTCAGACCAAGAGAGATGAGAGGCGTGGTCTAGTGTTGAAGCCTCAGTGTTCTCATCTCTAAAATGGACTAAAGGATGTTTCCAGCCACAGTATTCTTGACTCCGAATACTGGTTCGGTCCTAGAGTGAGAGGCAAGAAGGGAACGTCCCCCCACCACCTCGTGGGTCTCCATTAGTCAAGGAACATTAGGAAAAAGCCACTGAAAATGAACCCACTTAAAAAGAGGAACAGGCCAGGCATGATGGCTCATGCCTGTAATCCCAGCACTTTGGGAGGCCGAGGTGGGTGGATCGCTTGAGGTCAGGAGATTGAGACCAGCCTGGGCAACATGGCGAAACTCCATCTCTACAAAAACATAAGAATTATCCACGCCTGATGGTGCACAACTACAGTCCCAGCTACTCGGGAAGCTGAAGTGGGAGGATTGCTTTAGCCCAGGAGGTGGAGGCTGCAGTGAGCCGAGATCGCACCACTGCACTCCAGCCTGGGTGACAGAGCAAGAGACCCTATCCAAAAAAAAAAAAAAAAAAAAAAAAAAAAAAAAAGAGAGAGAGAGAGAGAGAGATGGAAGTACAGGTTTCTAGTAAATCGCAGCAAGAAATTGTGGAATTGGCATTCGAATATACAAAACAAAACCACAAATTATTCCATCGATCTTGTCCAACATTTAACAAAATTTAGATGATGATTACATCCCTGTTTTAGAACACAGTGAAACAACGTTTGGGAGTGGGATGGAAAGGTCCTAAGTCTTCCAGCAATATTGCCTCATAGGGCAAGAAATTGATGACTTCTTGGTGGCGGTGGAGGTGTCATTTTGGCCATAGGATAACGCAGACGTTTCTGCAAAGGTGTCGGAGGGCTTCGCAGTTTTCTGACGGGTTTCCTACTCTTTGAAGCACTTCCTGAATCCGCGAGGGTGGGGGTCCTGTGGAGCCAGCTTCTACAGAGCCCAGGCCTCGTCCTTGTCTGGATGTTGGGACGTTTTCGGCATGAGGCCCCGACCCTCTCGGGGTGTGTGGGTGTGCACTGGCGGAGGGCCTGCCACATCTGGGGGCATTTAGGATATTGCCATTCTGAGTGGGAGCTTGGCCGGGTGCAGGGCTCCAGCGGAGGGTGCTGAGCTGGGGACCAGCAGTTTCATGTTATTTGCCATCACGAGTGTGCTGTCTTCCCAGCCAGCCTTGGAAGGTTGGTGCTCAGACAAGGAATTTGCAGGTGGTGAGGCCCCAGGCTTATACCTTAGCAGCCCTTGGGTCCTCACGTTCGTCCAGGCCCAAGGACCCTGCACCCACTCTTCCTCCCGCCCTCGCGGGGGTGGAGGGGAAGCCCTGCAATCTCAAGCCACCCCCCACTGAGGCCTCTCTCCCCAATAATCCTCCAGGCTGGGGCTGCCCCGCCCTCGTCTGCTACACAGATTATCTCCAGACGGTCATCTGCATCCTGGAGATGTGGAGCCTCCACCCCAGCACGCTGACCCTCACCTGGTAAGTGGCCAGGCCTCGCCAGTCCCAGGGATGCAACCCACGGTGCCCGCTCAGTGATTCCACCCCCAGGAGGCCACTGTGCACGGAGGACCACAGTGCCCGCCTTTCAGGCCCCCAGCTACATGTTTCCCATGAATGGTCACTCCCGACCCTCACAATGATTACTCCCATTTTACAGTTGAGGACAATGAGGTTCAGAGAGGTTAAGCAACTCACCCAAGGTCACACAGCCAGTGAATGCTGGAGCTGGGATTCAAATTCAAACTCCCCAACTCCAAAGTCTGTGGGTTCCTTTGAGTCCATATGCAGCTCAAGATAAAGAAGAGTGTCCGTTATCCATCAGCTGATTCATTCACTCAAAACACATAGGCCACGTGCAGTGGCTCACGCTTCTAACCGCTTTGGGAGGCTGAAGAAGGAAGATCATTTGAGCCCAGGAGTTTGAGACCAGCCTGGGCCACATCACAAAATTCTGTCTCTACAAAAAATAAATCAGTTGGGTGTGGTGGCTCCATCCTGCAGTCCCAGCTACTTGAGAGTCTAAGGCAGAAGGACCAAGCTCAGAAGGTCAAGACTGCAGTGAGCCATGATCGCTTCTGCACTCCAGCCTGGACAGCAGAGCAAGATCCCATCTTAAAAACAAAACAAAGCATGTATTAAGTTCCTGCCAAACACTGCTGCAGGCACTGGGGATTCAGCAGAGCAAGGCTGACCAGAGACCAGACACCCTAGAACGGACATACCGCAGACAGAAGCACGAAACATCCAACAGGGTGCCTTCTCTTTTTTCTTTCTTTTTCTTTTTGAGACAGGGCCTTGCCCTGTTGCCCAGGCTGGAGTGTAGTGGTGTGATCAGAATTCACTATAGCCTCGCCCTCTTGGGCTCAAGGAATCCTTACCCCTCAGCCTCCCAAGTAGCTGGGACTACAGGCATGCATCACCACACCTGGAAAATGTTTGTAGTTTTTGGAAAGACAACGTTTTGCCATGTTGCCCAGGCTGGATTCCAACTCCTGGGCTCAAGTGATCTGCCCACTTCAGCCTCCCACAGTGCTGGGATTACAGGCCCAAACATAGGCTACTTTTCTTTTCTTTTTTTTTTTTTTTTTTGAGATGAAGTCTCACTCTGTCACCCAGCCTGGAGTGCAGTGGTATGATCTCGGCTCACTGCAACCTCCAATTCCCGGGTTCAAGAGATTCTCCTGCCTCAGCCTCCCAAGTAGTTGGGATTACAGGTGTGCACTACAACACCCAGCTAATTTTTGTGTTTTACGCAGAGACAGGGTTTTGTTATGTTTGCCAGGCTAGTCTCGAACTCCTGGCCTCAAGGGATCTGCCCACCTCTGCCTCCCAAAGTGTTGGGATTACAGGCATGAGACAATGGGCCCTGCCCCAAACAGAATACTTTCTAACAACAATGGGTGCTATAAAGAATGGGACACTGGGCATCAGGCAGAGGGACCACATCCTCTGGCGAGAAGGAGCCAGCCAGCCAGCAGGGGAAAAGCCAGTCCAGGCAGAGGGCACTGCCAGTGCGAAGGCCCTGTGGGAGAAGAGCCGGTGAGTTTGAGGAATAGCGAGGTCAGTGCGGCTGGAGTGCAGTGAGGCAGGGTTGGGGGTCAATAGCGAGCAAGTCCAGGCTGGGCGGCTTGGAAAGCATTTATTCAGCAGGGACTTCTACTCCAGCAAATTTAGCAGAGAACTCAGTCTACACATACCCGTTGGGCCTAGAGAGTGATCGTGTTCAGAACCTGAACATCTAGATAGGGAAATTAATATTTGGTGAACTCCTGGGCCGGGCGCAGTGGCTCAAGCCTGTAATCCCAGCACTTTGGGAGGCCGAGGTGGGTGGATCACGAGGTCGAGAGTTCGAGACCATCCTGGTCGACATGGTGAAACCCCGTCTCTACTAAAAATACAAAAATTCAGCTGGGCATGGTGGCGCATGCCTGTAATCCCAGCTACTCAGGAGGCTGAGGCAGGAGAATTGCCTGAACCCAGGAGGCGGAGGTTGCGGTGAGCCGAGATCGCGCCATTGCACTCCAGCCTGGGTAACAAGAGCGAAACTCCGTCTCAAAAAAAAAAAAAAAAAATTTGGTGAACTCCTATATATATTTCAAAACCCATCATTTTTATCCAGTGGGAGTTAAAAAGCCACAGCATTTCCCTAACCCCATCCCACCAGCTTTCCCAGAAGTCCAACCAGAGGAGGAGATGAGGTTCATTTAGCTCTCATCCTAGCCCTCAGCACAGGCTCTTATGAGGTATTCAGTGGGTGTTGGGGCCGAGCACAGTGGTTTACACCTGTAATCCCAGCACTTTGGGAGGCCGAGGCAAGCAGATCACTTGAGCCCAGGAGTTTGAGACCAGCCTAGGCAACATGGCGGGACCCCATCTCTACAGAAAATACAGAAAGTTAGCTGGGCATGGTGGTGCATGTCTGTAGTCCCAGCTACTCAGAACACTGAGGTAGGAGGATCAACAGAGCCCGGGAAGGTCGAGGCTGCAGTGAGCCATGATCCCACCATGACATTCCAGCCTAGGGGATAGAGTGAGACTGTCTCAAAAAAGTGGACATTGGACAGAAAGGAGAGAAGGAAACGCAAAATACCCAGCACCCTTCCTGTGGGACAGCCACCTGGGTGCTGGGACCGACTGGGATAGATTTAGGCTTGGTCCAAGAATGAATGGCCCAAATTTCCAAAACAGAGCTGCTGCCCTAAATGAGGTAGTGAGCTCCCGGTCCCTGGGAGGTATGCAAGCTGAGCCTGGACACAACTCATCAGGGATGGTGCAGGAGAGGGGATACCTTCCCTGGGAAAAGGTTGGTTGGACCAGGTGATCCCCCTCCCCGGGCCCTGCCTCAAATCCCTCCCAGCCCTGAGAGTCTAAGCTTCTGCGCTGGCCCTGAGCGTCGAGCCACCGCCATCCCCACCCCCGACCCTGGCTTCCAGCCATGACCGGCTGCTCTGTCCTTGAAGGCAAGACCAGTATGAAGAGCTGAAGGACGAGGTCACCTCCTGCAGCCTCCACAGGTCGGCCCACAACGCCACGCATGCCACGTATACCTGCCACATGGATGTGTTCCACTTCATGGCCGATGACATTTTCAGTGTCAACATCACAGATCAGTCTGGCAACTACTCCCAGGAGTGTGGCAGCTTTGTCCTGGCTGACAGCAGTGAGTATCCTGAGCCCCCAGGTTTAGGGTGGGGCTCAATCTTAGTGCACCACAGCCCCAGCCTCTCCAGGCTCAGGTGATCCTCCCACCCCAGCCTCCAGAGTCGCTGGGACAGCAGGTGTGTGCCACCATGCCCAGCTAATTTTTGGATTTTTAGTAGAGACAGGGTCTTGCCATGTTGCTCAGGCTGGTCTCAAACTCCTGGGCTCAAGTGATCCACCCGCCTTGGCCTCCCAAAGTGCTAGGATTATAGGTGGGGGCTGGTCCCCCTACTTGCTGTCCTCTGGACCAGCTCTTTCCCTTCCATCCGATCTAACCTGACCTATGCCTTCCTCATGTCTTAGAGTTCTGCTTTTGAGTCACACTATTTTTTTACTAAAGTGTGAAGGGTTGATAGTAGGTTTGAGCGATATGGAAGGAGCTGGTCTGGGACCTGGAACTTCTGGACTCATGTTCTGGCTCAGCCCTGCCCCTCTGTGTGACCATGGATGAGGCACACCTACCTCTGGGACAACTTCCCTACTTGTAGAGCAAATGTCCTTTTAACCGTGACTCTCTGGGATCCTGTCCCCATAATAAGGAGAGTGGAGGCCACTGAGTCACAGAAAAAAACCCTCCTGGGTTTCTTCCCCTTCATAAGCTTGAGGGAGGCCTGGAATTTCCCTCCAGGCTGGAGGTAGAGGGGGGTCCCAGGGGTAGGAGGGCCTGGTTGGTGGGAGCAGTTGTATCTGTGAGTTCAGAACCAGGGCGAGGTGGCTCACACCTGGAATTCCAACACTTTGGGAGGCTGAGGCAGGAGAATTGCTTGAACCTGGGAGCTCGAGACCAGGCCTGGGCAATATAGTGAGACCCCATCTCAGAACAACACAAAACGAGAATCGGGGCAGGGACCAGGCGTGGTGGCTCATTCCTGTAATCCCAGCCCTTTGGAAAGCCAAGGCGGGTCCGTCATTTGAGGTCAGGAGTTCAAGACCAGCCTGGGCAACAAGGTGAAACCCCGTCTCTACTAAAAACACAAAATAATTAGCCAGGCGTGGTGGCGCACACCTGTAGTCCCAGCTACTTGGGACGCCGAGGCAGGAGAATTGTTTGAACCTGCGAGACAGAGGTTGCAGTGAGCCACAATCACACCATTGCACTCCAGCCTGGGCGACAGAGTGAGACTCCATCACAAACAAAACAAAACCAAACCAGGGCAGGTCACGGAAGGGCCTGGAAGGTAGCTTTGGCGTGGTGGGCATGGTGTGTGTGTGTGTGTGTGTGTGTGTGTGTGTGTGTGTACCCAAAGCAACCCCAGAGGCAAACGTGCTGCAAAAAGAGCCTGTCCTTGGGGAGACCCCACCCCCAAGCTTGGGAGTTTCTGCCCTAAGATTCCCAGCGGAGGGGCTGGGTGATAAGAGGGTGTCTGTGATTCACACTCTGGGGGCCAGGTTTGCACCTCTTTGCTGAGTGGGTGTCACACAGAGGGCCAGAGTAAACACACTCTCAGCACATGCACACTCACACATTCCCAGGGTCACAGACACACACACAGACTCAGAGATGCACCCTCAAACTCACAGATGTCTCCCTCGCCCAGCCTGCATGGAGAGGACAGAGGCCCACACTGTCTCTCTCTTTTGCTCTTTCTCTTTATGTATTTTTTTTGAGGCAGAGTCTCCCACTGTCACCTGGGCTGGAGTGCAGTGGCGCCATCTCAGCTCACCGCAGCCTCCACCTCCCAGGTTCAAACGATTCACCTGCCTCAGCCTCCTGAGTGGCTGGGATTACAGGCGTGCACCACCGTGCCCAGCTAGTTTTCATATTTTTAGTAGAGACGGGGTTTCACCACGTTGGCCAGGCTGGTCTCAAATCTCCTGACCTCGAGATCCGCCCACCTCGGCCTCCCAAAGTACTGGGATTACAGGCATGAGCCACGGCGCCCGGCGTCTTTTGCTCTCTTTCCCACACATACTCACACACACTTACACATACATGCACACACACCCACGCACACACATTCTAACACACACTTTCTAACACACATGCATTCACATCACGCACACATGCACTCTCACACCCGTGCACACACACGCACATGGACACACATGGACACACATGCACACATACATGTAGTCTCACACACGCACACACTCACATACACATGCACACACACCCACACACACGCATATACACTCTAACACACATTCACATCACGCACACACATGCACTCACGTGCACACATAGGTGGACACTCACACATGCACTCTCACACGTGTGCACACATGCACACACATACATGTAATCTCACACACTCTGTCTCAGTCCCACGGATCTGGGATCCAGGACATGAGGTCCCCCGCACATGCATGCACCATCTGGAGTGGGGGCCCCTCCAGCCTCTCTGAGTGGACTGAGGCAGGCAGCAGCCCCACTGCCCGGGCCACCCCCAACCCTACCCTTACAGCTTCTCAGAAGCAGAGAAGAACTGAGGGAAGAGAAGCCCCCACCTCCACTTGCCACTTCTCTTTGCAGCGTGAATCTAAGCATTTCTCTCTGGCATCCCCTCCCTCCTTGCCAGGATCTGCAGCTAGCCTGGGCCCAGCTGGGGCAGTGATTTTCTTTTCTTTTCTTTTCTTTTTTTTTTTTAGACAGAGTCTTGCTCTGTCGCCAGCGCTGGAGTGCAGTGGCGCAATCTCGGCTCACCGCAATCTCCACCTCTCAGGTTCAAGCGATTCTCCTGCCTCAGCCTCCCACGTAGCTGAGACTACAGGTGCCCACAACCACGCCCAGCTATTTTTTTGTATTTTTAGTAGAGATGGGGTTTCACTATGTTGGCTAGGCTGGTCTCAAACTCCTAATCTCATGATCCACCTGCCTCTGCCTCCCAAAGGGCTGGAATTACAGGCATGAGCCACCACACACATCCAGTAACTGATTTTCTGACCACCGCCTGCACAGGGTCCCTTCCTCCTTCTGGGCCCCAGGCCTCGCTGGGCTGAGCAGCCCCCCTTCCCGAGCCTCAGGCTTTGCAAACATCTCTGGAGCACCCATGGGGAAGTTCTCAGTACCCTGGTGTCTACTGGGACAGATCTTCACCCAGGCCACACAGGGAAGCCCGGAGCCGGCCTCCACCTGCCCCAGCGAAGACAAAAGAGGGGTTAGAAACTATTTCAGTCACACACATCCCATCGCTGGAACAGCAACAGCAACAACCCAGTGTTCACCGTGGCATTCTGTAAAATGTGCACCTTGGCCGGGCGCAGTGACTCATGCCTGTAATCCTGGCACTTTGGGAGGCCGAGGCCGGTGGAGCACAAGGTCAAGAGATCGAGACCATGCTGGCCAACATAGTGAAACACTGTCTCTACTAAAAATACAAAAACAAACTGGGCATGGTGGCCTATGCCTGTAGTCCCAGCTACTTGGGAAGCTGAGGCAGGAGAATCGCTTGAACCCAGGAGGCAGAGGTTGCAGTGAGCTGAGATCCAGCCTGATGACAGAGTGAGACTCCATCCCCACCAAAGAAAAACAAAACAAGACAAAGCAAAAAAAAAAAAAAAAAAAAACGTGCACCTCTGTCACCTCGGGGTGTGGTGGGAGCCCTCAGCCATGCTTCAGTATCACAGGCAGCCTCAGAGCTCCTTTCTGGAAGCCTTGAAAGGTTCATTTGTTAATTTGGCAAATGTATATGAATATACAACAGCCCATTGCAGCCTGGAACTCCTGGGCTCTAGCGATCCTCCCAGTTCAGCCTGATTAGCTGGGACTACAGGTGCACATCACCATGCCTGGCAAATTTTTAAATTTTTTTGTAGAGCTAGGATCTTGCTGTGTTGCCTAGGCTGGTCTTAAACCCCTGGCCTCAAGCAATCCTGCCGCCTCAGCCTCCCAAAGTGCTGAGATTTTAGGCGTGAGCCACCTCACCCAGCCTAATTTGCCAAATACTTATTGAGGGCCTACTGTGTCCCAGGCTGTGTTCTAGGCGCTGTGGGCACAGAAGGAATGCAGAGGACAAAATCTCCACCCCAAGAAGCTAAGAGTCCAGCGAGGGGGCACATGGTAAAAACATTACAGGGTGAGACGTGCAGGGTGCTCGATGGTGGCAGATGGAAAGGGGAGAAGACGGTCAGGTGTGGTGGCTTGTGCCTGTAATCCCAGCACTGTGGGAGGTTGAGGCGGGCGGATCACTTGAGGTCAGGAGTTCAAGACCAGCCTGGCCAACATGGGGAAACCCCGTCTCTACTAAAAATACAAAAATTAGCCAGGCGTGGTGGTGCGCACCTATAGTCCCAGCTACTTGGGAGACTGAGGCCATGGAATCGCTTGTGCTTGGGAGGCGGAGGTTGCAGTGAGCTGAGATCATGCTGTTGCACTCTAGCCTGGGTGACAGAGAAAGATTCTGTGTCCAAAATAAAAGAAAGAAGAGAGGAACGAAAGAAAGAGAGATAGAAAGAGAAGAAAGGAAGGAAAGAAGCGAGCGAGGGAGGGAGGGAGGCAGGCAGGCAAAGAGAGAAAGTGGGGAAGATGAGGCCAGAGGCCTGCAACTCCTCTCTGACACTCATAGACACCTGTCACTTGGTTCCCCTGAAGTCACCGCCTCCGGCTAAATAGCTTCATCCCTTTGAACTTGAAGTCTCATGATACAGAAGCCGAGCCATTTTACAAGAGAGGAATTTAAGGCTCTTAACATATGTTCTGCTCAAGTCCACGAAATGTCCTTCAGATGGAGCAAAACTAGAATGCCGGCTTTGACCTTCATCTTGAGGCTGTCCATGAAAGCTTACTGTTATGGCCCAGAGCTTGGCTCTTGCACTTGCTGGGAGACGCTGAAAGATGAGGACCATCAGATCGGCCTCCCAGGGCCACTGTGGGGTGTCTGCCCGGAGCAGGGCAGCCAGGCAGGCTCTGGTTAATGGCAACCCTCATCATTAGCATTCATGCTAAGAAGAGTCTTCAACTGCTTGAAGTAGCTGGGGTTGAAAGAAAATGGTACCATCATTTAGAACAGAAATGGAAAATGAATGGATTTGCCAGCATGTCACTGAGGACATTTTTGAATGGGTAGTTAATTTCAAAACTTAAGATAGACCGGGTACAGTGGCTTATACCTGCAATTCCAGCATTTTGGGAGGCTGAGGTGGGAGGACCACTTGAAGCCAGGAGTTTGAGACTAGCCTGGCTGGTCTCAAACATAGTGAGACCCCATTTGTACAAAATAGAAAAATTAATAGCCCGGTGTGGTAGCACCCACCTGTAGTCCCAACTACTTGGGAGGCTGAGGTGGGAGGATGGGTTGAGTCCAGGAGGTTGAGGCTGCAGTGAGCTATGATCACACCACTGCACTCCAGCCTGGACCACACAGTGAGATCGTGTCTCTAAGAGAAAAAATCCTTGTGAGATTTCACATGATAATTCCGGGTGCCTCCTGTTTCCCATTCTGCAACTCATACTGAAACTTGCCCTTCAGTGCATAGAAAGCAGGATTTCAGATTTCGTATGTGTGTGTGCATTTACACATGTGTGTGTGCATGCATGGGTGTGTGTGTATGTGTTTATGTGCTTGCATACATGTGTGCGTGTGGGCATGCATAGGTGTGCACATGTGTGCATGCATGGGTGTGTGTATGTGTTTATGTGCTTGCATACATGTGTGCGTGTGGGCATGCATAGGTGTGCACATGTGTGCATGCATGGGTGTGCATGTGTACGTGTGCATGTGCTTGCATACATGTGCGTGGGGGGCACGCATGGGTGTGCACATGTGTGCATGCGTGGGTGTGCATGTGCACGTGTGCATGTGCTTGCATACATGTGCGTGGGGGCATGCATGGGTGTGCACATGTGTGCATGCATGGGTGCGCATGTGCTTGCGTGCATGTACGTGTGTGTATGCATGTGCATGTGAGTGTTTCCCTAGAAAACTTAGAAAAGCTTACCACTCTCTGTGGCTGGAGCCATTCACTTTTAACTCTTTCATTTCTTCACAATCCCTAAACCTGCTTCACCCGTCTCTGAGACCTGCCTGCCCCTGAGTTTGCAACCCTGATCAAGTCTAAATCCCTCAGTTTCCAGAAGAATACACGGAAGCCCAGAGTCAGGAGTGCTTTGCGCACAATCACTCAGGGTTGTTTGTCTCCATCTCAGGGGTCAGGCAGGATGGCAGGGGCTGGGGCAGGTAGGACTTCTTCCCATCAGCAAATCCTTTTCACCTGCAGCAAAATCTCATGCCATTTTCTCTTCCTGGGTTTCTCCACCCAGTCAAGCCGGCTCCCCCTTTCAACGTCACCGTGACCTTCTCAGGACAGTATAATATCTCCTGGCGCTCGGATTACGAAGACCCTGACTTCTTCATGCTGAAGGGCAAGCTTCAGTATGAGCTACAGTACAGGAACCGGGGAGACCCCTGGGCTGTGGTGAGGAACGCGGGGATCTGTGCAGCTAAGTGGGGGAAGGGGAGGGGAGAGAAGGAAGTGCAGGGGCATCTGTGAAGGAGACAGGTGAGCACCGTCATTCATGGCCAAGAACAGAGACCAAGGGCGCGAGCACCCTCTTACAGATGTTGCAGTAAGCTGGGATTGTGCCACTGCACTCTAGCCTGGGCAACAGAGCAAGACTTAATCTCAAAAAAGAAAAAAAAAAGTCCAGTATTAGAGGGCTCATTGCTTCAAACATGAAGGCTTTGAGAGGTGTCCTTCCAACCCACTATTTAGAACAGTCACAAGTGAGACCCTGTCTCTAAAAACTAAAAATAGTAATAATGATAGTCACAGCTGAAGAGTTCTAGAAGTGCCCATCTTTTAGAATAGTCCCAGCTGAAGATGTCCATGAGTACCATACTTTAGAAAGTTCCCAGTGGAAGATTTCCAGAGGTATCTATTGCTAAGATGTCTGTAGTTAAAGACGTCTAGAAATACCCACTGTTGGGAATGTCAGCATGTCAACTCTTGGAATTTTCAGCAGTTGAAGACACTCTCAATTGATGTATTGAGACTTACACCACCACGTCAGTTGAGAATGTCTTCAACTGTTGAAGAATTCCAAAAGTATGCATTGCCTGGGATCCTGCCAGACCATTGCCACTCCTGAGATACGCCCAGTCCTGCAGGGAGAGTTCACTGCCAGGACCGTGAATGGGTGAATTGGAATCAAAGAGAAATCAAACAGAGCATCCTATCACGGGCAAAGACCAGGCAGTGCTGGTGAGTCTGTGCTGCCCATGCCTGAGTCCAGCTACTCAGGCATAGGCCTGATTCTGGTGGGAAGAAAAGAGATGCTCAGCCCCTCCGATGGAAGCTGGGAAAGAGGTGGCTCTGCTGGAGGCAGGGGATGGCCTGGTTGCACCCTGACCTGCTGTGTCCTTTCCTTGTACTGGCAGAGTCCAAGGAGAAAGCTGATCTCAGTGGACTCAAGAAGTGTCTCCCTCCTCCCCTTGGAGTTCTGCAAAGACTCGAGCTATGAGCTGCAGGTGCGAGCAGGGCCCATGCCTGGCTCCTCCTACCAGGGGACCTGGAGCGAGTGGAGTGACCCGGTCATCTTTCAGACCCAGTCAGAGGGTAGGTGTGAAGCTGGGATGGACACCCCACTCCTGGTGGTCTAGCCACCGTAATCTTGTCGTGGTCTAGCCACCGTAAGCCCGGAGCTGTCTGGCACAGCTGGGAGGTATTCAGTTGTTCATCCCCAGATGTAGCCCTTCAGTGTGCCATTTCTAGAGCCCCTGCTGGCCAGGCCCTGTGCTGGATGCCAGCTGCTGCTTCTTCTGTTAGGCATTTGATACCCCTAACTCTGAAGTGGGAACAGCCCCATTTTTCAGATGAGATAACTGAGGCTTGGAGAAATGAAGTTACTTGCCTGGGATGAGAAATGAGAACAAGATTGGAACCATCTCACTTCAAGACACTAACAGTAGCAGCCTCTCCCACCCCTTTCCACTCTACCCCAGACCCATTTCCCACCACGCTCACCACACGTGGCCTCTGGTAGAGCTGGTGCCTTTTAACCCTTTGCTTCCCTCCCAGAGTTAAAGGAAGGCTGGAACCCTCACCTGCTGCTTCTCCTCCTGCTTGTCATAGTCTTCATTCCTGCCTTCTGGGGCCTGAAGACCCACCCAGCCTGGAGGTGAGGCCATGAGGAAGGCAGGGAGGTGGTCGGGCTGGGCCGCTGCCCCTCTATGGCACACCCAGGGTTGGGGAACATGCCTGTCATTGTGATCACAATGACGGCGATGGGATAATAACCAGCTCACAGCTGCTGCATGCTGGACATCCTGCAGGGCACTCACTTGACTCCCATGGCAGCCCTATGAGCTTGAGACACTGCAGTTGCCCCTGTTTTACAAATGGGGAAGCTGAGGCACAGAGCGGTCAAGGAATTTGCCCAAAGTCACACAGCTCCGAGGTGGAGAAATTGGGATTGAAACTCTGGGCCCTTAAACAGGGACCTCAGCTGTGATCTCGTCCAGTGGATTTTAAGCTTTGAGGTCTGCGGGTCATCAGGGACCACCAGGTGGTGGTGAATAGGTGGGAGCAATACTCCACACCTCTGAGATGGCCTCTCTGTGCACTCCTGGTTGCACATAAAGAAGTTGAGGCTCAGAAGGGGCAGCATTTGCCCAGCACAGCACAGGCAGCCAAGAACATAACCTTGATACCCCTTCGGGAGCCGGCAAGGGAGACTCGCTGCTCCCAGATGGGGGAACCAAGCCCTGAGGAAGGCGGGAGGTGCCCAGGCTGTGTCTTGTGATACGCAGAAGCTCCTGTAGGATAAATCTGGGGAGTGTCCGAATGGGAAGCCACGCTGGCCTCTAGTGAGTCAGGGGCCTCACCCTTTCTGCCCCTCAGGCTGTGGAAGAAGACATGGGTCGTCCCCAGTCCCGAGAATTTCTTCCTGCCTCTGTACAAGTGCTACGGAGGAGACTTCAAGGTGAGCACCCCACCCTGTGACGAGTCCCTCTGAGCCCCTCCTCCTCTTCAGAAGCCCGACCTCCCCTCACCCCAGGCCCCCCAGTCTCACCCCACAGGCCTAGAGCATCCAGATCTCAGTCAAGCCACAAGCCAGGCCTCAGTTTCCCCACGTGCCAAGTGCAGACAGTTATTCTTGTGGTGGAGAATTGGCAGGAGAATTATACAAGATTTGACCAGGTATCCTTCAACTGTTGAAGAATTCCAAAAGTATGCATTGCCTGGGACCCTGCCAGACCACTGCCACTCCTGAGATATGCCCAGTCCTGCAGGGAGAGTTCACTGCCAGGACCGTGAATGGGTGAATTGGTACAGTGGCTCACGTCTGCAGTCCCAGCACTTTGGGAGGCCAAAGCAGGTGGATTGCTTGAGAACAGCCTGAGCAACATAGGGAGACCCTCTACGACCACTCCACCTCCCCGTCTCTATAAAAAGTTTAAAAATCATTCAAGCGAGATGGTGCGTGCCTGTAGTCCCAGCTACTTGGGAGGCTGAGGCAGAAGGGTCGTTCCTAGGCTGCAGTGAGCTATGATCACACCACTGCACTCCAGTCTGGGCAACAGACACAGATGCTATCAAAAAAAAAATCAAATCAGGCCAGGCGCGGTGGCTCATGCCTGTAATCCCAGCACTTTGGGAGGCTGAGGTGGGTGGATCACGAGGTTAAGAGATCGAGACCATCCTGGTCAACATGGTGAAACCCCGTCTCTACCAAAAATACAAAAAATCAGCTGGGCATGGTGGCGTGTGCCTGTAATCCCAGCTACTCAGGAGGCTGAGGCAGGAGAATTGCCTGAACCCGGGAGGCGGAGGTTGCAGTGAGCCGAGATTGCGCCATTGCACTCCAGCCTGGGTAACAAGAGCAAAACTCCGTTTCAGAAAAAAAAAAAAAAAATCAAATAAAAAAGAAACATTAAACAAGAGCATGCAGCATTGCCCAGCACAAGAAGCTAGACTGGGAGAGGGAGTGAGGTTGGTGGTCTCAAGTCACAGATTGCCACCCCCCTGCCACTCGCCCAGTCCCTTCTCCGGTGCCCTTAATCTGGGTTGGAGAGGGAGTGGGTTCTGGGAAGGGTCTGGCCTCCCGGGGCAAAACACACCAATCTTTGCGAAGCCTCCACCTCACCACCACCCACCAGCACCCACAGGATTATCTGTGCCCAATTACAGGTGTGTCACCCACCCTGCAGGAGTGGGAGGGGCTGCTGCAGAGAGGATGTGGTGGCAGAGGTAGGAGGGACAGTGCCACCTGCTGCAGCTGAGCCTGACAGTCAGACAACGTAGACCTAGAGCATTGATCGGGCTCCTCCTGTCTGCCTGGTGCTGCGCTGGACACGCCTCCTGCCTCACTCATTCTCATACAGCAGCCCCTGTGGAGTGGGTGTTCCACTGCCCCCTGGGGCACCTGAGAGGAAGCCAAGGCTCAGAACAGGCAGGGAGGAACCTGGATTCCAACTCACATAAAATCCACCCTTTTCTCTTCCCTAAAGTTCAAATATCACATTTATTTTGGGTTGATTTTTACCAATACTCATATAGCCCTTCTATATACCAGGGAGTCCACTAGGAGCATCACATACAGTGACTCACTTAACCCTCACTATGACTTTATGGGTGGGTGCTATAATTAGGTCCATTTTCCAGATGAGGAAACTGAGGCACAGAGAGGGTAATTGGCTTAAGGGCGCACAGCTGAGAAGTGACTTCAAATCAGTGGTGGTGGCCACATGACGGTTCTCAGATGAGTTTTTGAGGAACATGAGGTCAAAACAGGGAGATTCCCATTCTCAGGGATTGTCCTTGCCAATTGCATGGGGATTCTGGTGTCATGAATGGGAGTCCCAGCAGGGGAGGGAAGGAGGGTCCTTCAAGTGTAAGGGCCACTGCCTCAGCCAACATCACCTACATCCTTTATCCTCAAAGTGTACAAAGGCCTTTCCAAGTGGCTTTTCACTGATTCACTCCACTCGTTCGTTAATAAACATTTATTGAGCACCTACTGTGTGCTAGGCACTGGGGATAGAGCCATGGACGGAAGAGACAAGACTTGTGCCTGGGGCCAGTGTCTGTCTGGTGGGGACACATAAACCAGGAGAGTGCTGGGTTTCAAGAAACATCAAGGAGGAGGGAAAGGAGGAGATGGCTCAGGTGTCACTCAGGCCTCAGGCCCTCCTGCCCTCATGTCTCCTTGACTCAGGAATCTTAGCTCCTGCTGGGGCTATGGGGCCACCAGTTGTCTGAATAGTCAGGCTACTAGGGGTAGCAACTCCCTTCTACAAGTGGGGAAACTGAGGCCCAGAGTAGGAGGGGGACACCAGTGGGGACCCCCACTATGGTGGGAGCACATCATGGTCCCAATCCCTCCCTCCCTCCCTCCCTCCCTCTCTCCCTCCCTCTCTCTCTCTTCCTCCCCTCTCTGAGTGTCTTTGTTTTCATGTCTCTTTCTTGATGTCTCTTCGTCTCTGTGTCTGTGTCTCTCTATCAGTTTAAACCCTCACTTGGCTGGTGCACAGTGGCTCACCCCTCTAATCCCAGCACTTTGGGAGGCCAAGGTGGGTGGATCACCTGAGGTCAGGAGTTCAAGACTAGGTCTGGCCAATGTGGTGAAACCCCGTCTCTACTAAAAATACAAAAATTAGGTGGGCGTGGTGGTGCATGCCTGTTAGTACCAGCTACCTGGGAGGCTGAGGCAGGAGAATCACTTGAACCTGGGAGGCAGAGGTTGTGGTGAGCCAAGACGGCACCACCGCACTGCAGCCTGGGCAACAGAGTCAGACTGTCTCAAAAGAATAAAAGTAAAAAAATAAGAAAACCCTCGCCGTACCCTCATCCTGTGCTATGACTCACTCTCTTTTTCTCTCTCACAGAAATGGGTGGGTGCACCCCTCACCGCCTCCATCCTGGAGCTGGGACCCTGGAGCCCAGAGGTGCCCTCAGCCCTGGAGGTGTACAGTTACCACTTGCCACGGAGTCCGGCCAAGAGGCTGCAGCTCACGGAGCTGCGAGAACCGGCAGAGCTGGTGGAGTCTGACAGTGTGCCCAAGCCCAGCTCCTGGGCCACGGCCCAGAACTCCGGGGGCTCAGCTTACAGCGAGGAGAGGGACCGGCCGTACGGCCTGCTGTCCATCGACACAGTGACTGTGCTAGATGCAGAGGGGCTGTGCACCGGGCCTTGCAGCTGTGAGGATGACGGCTACCCAGCCCTGGATCTGGACGCCGGCCTTGAGCCCAGCCCAGGCCTAGAGGACCCACTCTTGGACGCGGACACCACAGTCCTCTCCTGTGGCTGTGTCTCGGCTGGCAGTCCTGGGCTAGGAGGGCCCCTGGGAAGCCTCCTGGACAGACTAAGGCCACCCCTTGCAGATGGGGAGGACTGGGCTGGGGGACTGCCCTGGGGTGGCCGGTCACCTGGAGGGGCCTTAGAGAGTGAGGCGGGCTCGCCCCCGGCCGGCCTGGATATGGACACGTTTGACAGTGGCTTCGCGGGCTCTGACTGCAGCAGCCCTGTGGAGTGTGACTTCACCAGTCCTGGGGACGAAGGCCCGCCCCGGAGCTACCTCCGCCAGTGGGTGGTCATCCCTCAACACTCTCGAGCCCTGGACCCCAGGCCAGCTAGTGAGGCTGACTAGCTGTCCAGAGCTGGCCACTGGATACCGGGCCCTGAGCCAGAGACAAGGTCACCTGGGCTGTGATTGAAGACACCTGCAGCCTTCGAGCCTGATGTTTACAGTGTCTGCGTGTGTGCATGTGTGCGTGCATGTGTGCATGCGTGTGTAGGTGCATGTGTGTATGTGCGTGTGTGTGTGTGTGTGTGTGTGTGTGTGTATCTCAGGTGTGGGCACAGTGACGTCGACGTGTGTGTGTGACTGCACGTGCCTGTGGGCCTGGATAATGTCCATGGTACTCTATGCATTCAGGGCCCAGGGAGCTCACCCGAGTGTACCAGGGTGCACAGCAAACGTGTCTGTGGGCAACAGATGACAACAGCCTTCGTCCTTGCCGGGGTCTTGTGTTACACACTGGTCCACGGCCCCTTCGGGGCCTTGTGGGTACAGGGCATTGCTTGCAGCAGAGGCCAAGCCCAGCCCTCCAGCATCTGCCTCCAGGAGCTTCCAAAAGTCCCTATGGTCCCTTGTCACCTGCCAGCAGGGAGGGAAAGGGGTTGCAGTGAGCCCACAGTGACCCCACCCCGGGTTGGGAAGAGTTTGGGCAACCCATAGAGGAAAGTTCGAATCCTGACTCTGATACCTTCTGGCTGTGCTATCTGAGCCAAGTTGCCTCCCCTCTCTGGGCTAGAGTTTCTTTGTCCAGACAATGCGGAAGGCATGACCCACCTAGGGGAAACTGGTGATGTCACTTGTGTCTAGTACGCAGCCCAGAGCAGACCCTCAGTATACGTCAGCTTCCTTCCTTCTGCAGCCACAGCGGAGGCTCACAGGAGGTGGGCGGGGGTGAGAACACCCATCATCCCCAACAGCCTGGGCATCGGTGGGGCTGTCCCAACTGCAGAGGGCCGCTTGGGGGGGTTTCCAGGCTTAAAACCAGTCCGTCTCATCTCTTGGAAACAGCTCTCCAGCCACCAAGATTTCTTTTTCTGACTTCTGCTACTAAGTTTTTAAAAATTCCGTTTGTGCACCCAAGAGATATTTATTAAACACCAATTACGTGCCCAGCCAAGGCTCATGGGACCCTCCTCCTGTGGCACTGGGGGAGGGAGGGTGCGGGCCGAAACCAGGCAGTGCCCTCCAGCCACACATCCTGCCCCAATTCAGCAATTCAATCCAGCGTCTTATTTGTTCATCCTGGAGAATTAGAGGGAGGTCAAGTTGTATGTCAATGATTTGTCAGAGAACCTGTTGAAATGTGAATTAAGAAGCTAAGAAAATACTTCTTAGCAACATTTTGTTTTTCTTTTGAAACTAGAGTCTCAGTCTGTCGCTCAGGCTGGAGTGCAGTGGCATGATCTCGGCTCACTGCAGCCTTTGCCTCCTGGGTTCAAGCTATTCTGCCTCAGCCTCCCGAATAGCTAGGATTACAGGCACGCACCACCACGCCTGGCTAATTTTTGTATTTTTAGTAGAGATGGGGTTTCACCATGTTGGCCAGGCTGGTCTCAAACTCCTGACCTCAGATGATCTGCCTGCCTCGGCCTCTCAAAGTGCTGGGATTACAGGCGTGAGTCACCACACCCAGCCTCTTAGCAACATTCTCAAGGTACGTCACTGAATATCAGTTTAGTATAGAAGTAGATGTAGGTGCCAGGTATTGCATAAAACTCACCTCTCTCTCCTCTCTTTCTCTCTCTCTATACACACACACACACACACACACACACACACACACACACACACATTTTTTAAGGAAATATGTTGCTTTCCCCCTAAGGGTGCCCATCTTAGAAGTGGCTTGGGTTTTTGAAGACCAAGCAAGGTTACAGCAGCAAAGAGTGTTATTCAGCTCCAGAGCCTGAGTCATGGAGACATAGTCCTCGTAATAGCTCTTGAGCTCCTGGTCCAGCTATGCCTGAAACCACGTTTCTCCCGGACCATTTAGATATGAGAATGGAAGTCATTATGATGTTCACCAAATATTTCCGCCCCCTGCACCTGCACCCTGGGGAGTCTTGGGAACCTGGAAGAGGACCGCCACCCTGGCCCGATCCCACTTTCCTCCCCAAAGGCCAGACTGCTGGCTGGAGGGCCGTGGTGGAGGAGCCAGCTCTGGCTTTTGGAGCAGGGTTGGGTTGGAAGTCAGCAGAAGTCAGTCCTGTCGAAGGCTCCTTTGTGACTCATCTGTGAAGTGGGGTAGTTGGGAGAGGTCGCTGAGAGAATGCATGAGAGTCCTTGGTGCCTGGCGGGAGACTGGAAGGTTCTAGAATGTTGATGGTTATAAGAGTGGGCCTGTGAGCCTGGGATCGGGGGGTGTGAGACTCAGATGGGAGCGAGAGAGTGGAAGCACAGCTTCTGCACAGGGGAGCAGCCCTCACCACCCCTACACCCACACCTGCATCCTAGGGACTCTTGGGTCCAGATGTGCTGTGGTTTTCACACCCTCTTGGGGGCATCAGGTTCCAGGAGCCAGCTGTGGGTGCCACCTGAGCCACAGGCTCTCAGGAAACCAGCACAGCTCTCCTGCACCCAGAGCTCGCTGGGTGAGGGAGGGGAACACGGATGGCTGGGGAGGGCCTGACTGAGGCCAGATGGAGGGTGTTCTGGAGTGGAGCAGACGAGGCTCCTTAGAACCCCACATTTGAAGGGAACTCAGCTCATAAACATGGAGGAGCGAAGTTGGAGGCTGGCTGCAGTGGCTCATGCCTGTGATCCCTGCACTTTGGGAGGCTGAAGCAGGTGGATCACTTGAGGCCAGGAGTTCAAGACCAGCTTGGGTAACATAGCAAGACCCCATCTCTACAAAAATTATTCTTAAAAAAATTATCCAGGCGCGGTGGAGCTTGCCTGTAGTCCCAGCTACTCGGGAGGCTAAGGTGGGAGGAGCGCCTGAGCCCAGGAGTTTGAGGCTGCAGTGAGCTGTGACTGCCTGGTCACAGAACAAGACCCTGTCTCTTAAAAAAAAAATGTTGGAGACAAGAGCTGGGTCACCTAGAAGGACGGATTAGTAGGTGGGAGGGTGGACGGAGGATGGATGGATGTGTGGTTGGACAGAAGGATCGTATTAGGTTGGTGCAAACGTCTTTGCTATTACTCTTAATGGCTTTGATAACACGTTTGAAGGAAGAATGGTTGGTTGGATAGACAGAGATAAACAGATACTGAAGACAAAGGTGAAGACAAAACACAAGTCTACAGGCCAGCAACTCTATTTTGATCACTGCCTTTAGTTCCAGCCTGGCACATGGTAGGCACTCAATAAAGCCTGATTTGTAGCATTTGCTTATTTCCATGGTGTAATTTCAAGTGCCTGATTTCAGTCTAAACACAGAGTTAGGAAGAGATATGCACAATCTGCTCTCTTGGCTGGTATGAGCGAGTCCCAGCTCACTTAGTGATGGTAACCCAGACAGCACATCAAGAGGGCCAGGGGGCTTCAGGGAGGAGGTGGTGTTGGTTGGACTTTGAAAAATGAATAGGAGGCTGGGAGCAGTGGCTCATGACTAATCCTAGCATTTTGGGAGGCTGAGGTGGACGGACCATTTGAGGTCAGGAGTTCGAGACCAGCCTGGGCAACATGGTAAAACCCAGTCTCTACTAAAAATACAAAAATTAGCTGGGTGTGGTGGCAGGCGGCTGTAATCCCAGCTACTTGGGAGGCTGAGGCAGGAGAATCCAGGAGGCGGAAGTTGCAGCGAGCAGATGGCACCACTGCACTCCATCCTGGGCAACAGAGCAAGACTCGCTCTCAAAAATCAAAATAAAAAAAGGAAAAATGAATAGAAGTTGTTAGATGTACCAGTTATTTGGGGCAGAGGGAAGAGCCTGGACAAAGGCCTGGAGGTGTGACTAAGGGTCAGAAGCAGCGGGACTGGCAGCTCCTCGCCTTCCAAAGACTAGGCCAGAATCGATAAGGACCCTCACTTAAGAGGAAGGGGGACCCATCCCAACACTTTCCCAGCTGACTCACTCCTCACCTTGCTGTCTGCAAGCGCTGAGGGGCAGACTCATCCATCTGACAGATGATCTGAGGTCACACACTGAATGAGTGGTCGGAGTCGGAACCAGAACTCTGGGCTCCTGATGCCAATTTCAGTTCTTTTTCACCATGCTCTGCTGGGAAGCGTGTAGATCCAGAGGTTAGGAAGGTTTAGCAGACCCCTGTGGGTGCTGCTGCATCTGCCCGTGCTATAGCCTGGGGATGTGGCTGACCCCCACTCTGGGAGTGGCTGCGTGACCCAGGCCTGGCCAATAGGACATTCCTTCCCTGTGGCAACAGTACAGTTTAGGGACAGACATACCCTAGCTGGTTCATATTCTCTTTCTGCTGGGATTACTGAGCTGTAAGGAAGGGACTGGGAGGGGTAGCAAGAAACACACAAGAAGGCAGAGCTGAGAGATGGAGACACAGTCCTGGTAATAGCTCTTGAGCTCCTGGATCCAGCCATGCCTGAAACTACATTTCTCCAGGACCATTTAGATACATGAGTATAGAAGTCATTATGCTGTTCACCCAGTATTTCCAGCTTTTAGCCTTCTGGGCACATGGCAGGATTGTACCTCTTGACCCTCTGTAGCCAGATGGGGCCACGTGACTGGTGGAGCCTAGCTAGTTGTGAGCAGAATGGTCTCACTTTTGGGCAGAGCACTTTTCAGATGGCTGCCATGCCCCCTACAGTGTTTTCCTCTCTGTCACAGAGACAGATGATGGTGGTGACTGTTCCATCTGCCTGAATGAGGAGATACAGACTGAAATTTCAGTTCACCTGTGACAGACATGGATTGTGAACAAGAAATCAATCCTTTGTTGTTCTAAGCTGCTGCAATGGGGCTGTTTGTTACCACAGCATAACCCCGCCTATCCTGACTGAATCAATTTTTTTCCTTAAGCTGGTTTGAGGTGGGTTTCTCTCCCTTGCAGCAGAAAGTGTTCTAGCATTATTCTGATATCATCCCCACAGTAAGGACTCTCCTTCCATCCTAAGGAAGAACACTGTATTAGTCCTTGTGTCACTATAAAGAAATACCAGGCAGGGCTGGGGATCACTCCTGTAATCCTAGCACTTCAGGAAGCGAAGGTGGGTGATCACTTGAGGCCAGGAGTTCAAGACCTGGCCAACCTGGCAAAACCCCGTCTCTACTAAAAATACAAAAGTTAGTCAGGCATGGAGG